AAGGAGTATAAAAATGTAATAGTCTGTAAATTTCAGTGTAGGTAATACATATTTTTCTTAACTATATTTCCTCTAAATGTATAGGTTTACAATCTGATCAACTGAACTAATATTCAATCATAATTTTCGACAGTAAATACGTTGTAAAGATAAACTATCCAACATGATAATAAAAAACTGAATAGTTAAGGGACCTGAGTTGTTTATTAACAATTTGTTGTTTAGATTCTTGTACATACACATGTTACACATACATAAGGTTTAGAGGGTAAGTCTATGTAAAGTTTGAGTAAATTCAATTCAGAATATTGTGTTTGCTTTTTGTAAACAATGCAGATATGTTGCTCTTATGTGCTTTTGTGATACTATAATATATATTATTTGGTTTAGGAATTTAACAAATATTAAACTACAATATTAATAATACAAGACCTGCTCGATTTTACATTACTAATATTTTACTCATATTACCATAATTACTATAGTTACTGAATTAACCAGTGGTGTAGCCAGGTTTATGAAGGGGGAGGAGTTAAGTATAAATTAAACTATTTTTTTTAAGTTTTCGTGTATAAATAATGTAATACAAATAATACATTTATTAGGGTGGGAAAGCAATATTGAGGTGTGGGGTTAAACACCTAGGCCCCCTTGCCTAAGCAACCGGAACTAAACATTCGTTTTTTTTAAATGTAAGTCAAAGTTTTTTTTTTAAAAGGCAAAAAATATTGTCTTATGAATTGTAGATGATATTATTAAAATATATAAACGAAAAATAAGACAGATGCGAGGTATTATAAAGAACTGCATACACACAGTGATTTACGACTAACATGCGGAGTAAAAAGTATGATATTTGCCAAACACTGAAATACTTAGGAAAAATATATATTCTGGAATACAGAAAGAGTCTGATGTACGAGTTTAATAACTACCTAAACATGTTAGATATATATTATTATATATTATATATTTGTTGAATTTTAAATCCAAGGTAATCCTAAGCGTATAACAGCTTAAAAAATATTTGTGTTTGCAAAATATTTCCATAGAAATTAAATGTATGCCTAAAGCAAAGCTCTTTTTTTAGAAAAACGATGCGCCTCTGAAGACTAAAATTTGTTTTTTTTATTTTGTTATCATGGGACGTTTTCATAATTGTCACCAATAGCAGAGTTTTTTTTTAATTTTACGTTATTAATCTATTATACAATGTACGATGTAGTACTCGTTATAATTTAATTTCGAATTGGTTCCTATAATATTGAAGATGACGTATTGGTATTATATACGTTGTCTTATACATCGGTAGTACATTTAACTCAATATTTAAGCATTTGAGACACAGTTAACTTTGAGCATGTCTGTATAATATTATATGTTTGAAGAAAATAATTTTTTGTGAATTGATTTAAGGATCAACCATCGTTTCTATGTTTTATTTCAAAATTCAAAATCATTAATTTAACTGAAGACCTCCAACTTTCTTACTGATCCAGCAGACATAGACAATGTTTGTAAAATATGTATCTGTATCAACACCAAATATTAAGAATACAATTACCACTTATTAACTGTAAAACATTTATAATTAGATACACATAAACAAATTCAAAAGACAAATAGGTTTTTTAAGATTATAACCGAAACACTCGCAGTTAACTAATTAAAACATTTTTTCAACTTAATAGCAAACAAGTTAAAAAGAATATATTATACTCAAATTTCAAGAACATATGTCATATTGTTGTATTAAACGTAAGTACCATCAACATGAATATCATATAACACAACCTTTTATCTTTTACCTAGTACGGTTTTTTTTTGTTTCATATTAATAAAATAATCCATTCTGTGAAATGCTGTATGGTACCTAAATTGAAATATATCAACTTCACATTAAAAAACATGGTATGGCATAAAATTAAATACAACAGGTGGCCATAAATTGTTATGTTTGCAAAAGTCAAGAGAATACTCATACATTTTAAAATATCAAATAACAACACGTAACGGGATATCATCAATTCATCAATGGATGTTTTCTCTGCTCAAGCTACCCAATGTTACCTATAACTTATAAGAAAGCTCCCAAATACTCTTTGTAAAAATTAATTTACAGATTGCATTTAACTTAGTAAAAACAAAACAAAAAAAAGTATAAATACAATCAACAATTATTTCGCAACATTTAAAATGAAAAATATGTATTATTTTGTAATGAAAGTACTCGTATATTATTTTGTTACATAAAATTTAATTACATTTGATCATGATATTAAATTTATTTGTGATTAAAAAACATATTTTAAAAACTATTTCAATGGGGATTAAAAATAATGTGATTAAAAAGGCTTAAGGTACATTAAAATATAATGACATTCACTTTAAAAAATTCAATTTAATTCAATTTTTATATATATCCATTTCCACAGTAAATTATTAACAAGTGAATATTCTTAAATTACATAAGGTAATGTAGTTACAATACTAAAAAAATTATTTTGATCAATATTTAATATGGATAAAAAAAAAGAGTGGATTTTAAAATGTTACATCGACCAATAAACCAAACAACTTGCTTAATTTAAAGTATCATTAAAAAATCAGGTCTTTTTATTTCAGAAGACAGGTATGAGATAAACCTAAGTTTCTTCTGTGCATCTAGTCGAGCATATAGGCATTCCTTTGATATCAGTAATATAAACATTATTATAATATATTTATAATAGTATTAGTTATTACTTATTAGTAACAAAAACATTAAAAATTGTTTAACATAAAAGCGGGTCATCCGGTCATCTGTAATATGTATTGTTTATGTTGGAAGGTGCATATACAGCGGTTAATTCATTTTTGATGGGTTTATATGATGACCAATGGCCATACATAAATGATTACCCTTCAAGGGTAATTTGGTCATTGCGAGAGTGTACGAGTGGTGTGCTCAACCATGTGAAATGTCATTTGTTTATGTCCATGTTCGTGGGTTTAGTTTTTGACAAATTGTATCCAGCATTGTTACAAGAGTAGTGCAAGACCATGATTTCAGTCTAAATTAGGCTATTCACAAAAATACAACAGCAAGCCCATTACCCAATACCATCGTGCAATAAATTACTTAGAATTACATGCCTTACAGGATAACGTAACATTCAACAACCGACAATATATTTTAGTCATACTAAGTATATAAGTATATAAATATACAATATACTAAAAATTCAAAAATCATAAATTTATATTTTGGTTTAACTATAATAATTACGAACACCAATTTTTCAGACCAATAAAATCAACATAAATAAATATTTGATGTTGGCATAAATATATTATGTTCATAATTTACACTCTAGCCATAATCCTAAAGTTTTTCCAAAGCTGACAATCATTAATTTATGCATCTTTTGTCCAAGACAAAATGATGTATGCTAAGTGAATATTTAGAAAGAAGCTATATATAATAGTATCATAATTATCAACAAAAATAAAACGAGAACTTTTTTAAATTACGATATTCCTATTTTCTGGCTGATATATCTATAATACGTCTAAGATAACCGATCGAGGATCAATTGTAATATTCAATATAATCACTTTAGTCCATAAATTATAATGTTAATCTACATAATATATAAATTAAATAAAAAATAAAAATGTATACCTACCCACTTAAAACTTAATATTTATGTGTCCGTAACAAAAATTAAATATTTAGAAATATTAATCCACTATCATGCATCTACTTTGGGTATATAATAATTTATTGCCATGATCAACAGTCGTAAATAATATATATTATATGACCAGCACTAAAGGATTATATAAATTAAGTATAAACTAAAGTAGTTATCGGTAGGTAACTATTGATCTTACTTAAGCAAACATCCGGATACGGTTCGTCACCGAGCGGTGAACTTAAGTATACTTCATTACTAAGTATAATATAATAATGAGGTATAAATTAAATTTGTTGATTTTTCACCGGAAATTATTTAACAGCGATTAGATTGTTTTTAAATAAGAGGAAATTTGATAGGTTTATCAAAATGTAATATAATATATTCAGTATACAATAACGCAAAGCATCGAGTTTGAGATGTAAAAATAAAAAAAAATCTTTTCCCTTTATTTCAATCATCAAAATCATGTTAGTATAATACGGGTTAATTCAAAAGTCTTCACCCGATTTCAAAAATTCAAATTCGTTTAAAAATTTACTCATATTTGCATTACAATTAAAATAAACTAATTTTTACTTATTTTATAGCAATGGCTTTTAGATTTTCACATTGCTTTTGAATTATACCTACTCATCTACAGAAGAACGTAGTAAAAGTCGTGGACTAATGTAACTTTTTCAGGACTGTATCCTTTGTACTTTACTTAATTCGCTTAGTCTTAGAGATTATTATCCATCAAAAACTATATTATGAACAATATTAATATACTTCTGGTTATAAAATTCAAAAATTCGTTATCATTTGCTAAGATTAATATATTTTAAAGTTCACTGCATTAGAAAGAAAAATAGATACTAGATATTTGTGTGCCAATAAACAGGAAAATAAATAATATAGGTAGTTTAAACTGAAAGAAGATTTTCTCCAAGCGGAACATTTCATTTAGGAAACGATGAGTGGGTATTCTGTAACCAAATGGATCATCCCACAATAATATGCATGGCATAAACTCGTACAGGTAGATCTGTTGGGTTAACGGAGGGTAGGGTGGACCGATCAGAGTTTACATATATACGTACTATAATATAGTATAATATAGTATAATATATAACACGCGCAGTGTGCGTCATTGACCCGCGGACCTGGGAGCTTAAAAGCTGTGAGGGGGGGGAGGGGGGGTTCGAGTCGGTCGAACGCTGCAGCGGAGGTGATTGGGTTGGTGGCACGTTGGCGTGAGCCTGCGGGGAGGTCTGACGGACGATCCTCGCCGGGACAAGCGAGGCGGACGGGACGGGACATGACGGACGGAAGTGCTACCTGTTTGTGCAGTGTCGTTGTTCGCGGTGTTGACGCGTTGATCGGCCAGCGCGCACGCGCACAACAAACACATCCATCGGATCCGTCTGGCGGCCAACTGCATCTCATGTCGTCGGCTCGTCGTGGTGATTGCCGCGGCTGCGACGTCCGCTTCGTCGGCGGGATGTCGTACAGGCACGGACGACTCGATATAAATATACGATACCCAGGTATATGGTCTGAGTGCGAGTTATCAAACGACGGAAATGAAGGCAGCCAGTCGGCGGTCTGGCCGTCGGTTCGTCGACCTGCAGCAGACACGACCCGATGACCGGATATCTTAATGCAGTGGAGAAGGCGCTGACCGGCGAATTATTACTTAAACAATAGCGTGACAACAATGAAGGATTGATAAAGATCAAGACGGAACTCTGCTGCAGACGGTGTGTGGCTTGCGGACAGCGCCGGAGACGTGTCGGCGAAGGACTGCTGCCGTCGGTGGCGGCGGTGTGCCGCGGAAAAGCGCGCGCACGGCTGATTCGCTGGCCGAGTGGATGCGCTTCGGAATTTCGCACCGACACCGCCGACGCTCAACCCGCTGTCCCGTCGCGACCGCCGCGTGTACATCGTCCCGCTACCCGCCGTCGTCGATGGCGATAAAACGCGAGCGCGGCAGCCAAAAATATAATAATTCAATAATAATCCGATAACGTTTCGTCGTGGCACATAACGATAACGTTTCACAGCAGCTGCATAACTGCGTAATAATAATATCATATCAGTGCTGCACCAATTGTGGGGCGACAAGACGGGGAAAACCTCATCTGACCATCAGACGGTTGGCGGACGAGGGAGGAGACTTCTTAAAATACGCCTCTATATACATGGTGGGAATCAGGTTCAGCTGTGTAATGGTGCCATCTTAATTATACACGGTTATGATTGAGTGTACTTGAAAATCATAGTTTTTTGTGGAAACCGCGACGTCCCCAAAATAAGAAAGTCGAAATTCTCTTTTAACAACTGTGTGTGGACTCGGATTTCCTTGTACCTACGTTTGTATAGTTTTCAAAATTGAAATCTAGTCGTGGAATTTTAATTTTAAATCATTATTTTTATGGTTTGGTGGGAAATGTTGACGGCTTTTGCAGTTTCATCAAAACTGGAATTTATGAAAATGGAGTGTAGTTCTCTCTCACCGGGAACGTCGAATTATGTATCTTCCCACGCACTTAAACATCTGCAGCTTTGAAGGTCTTATAAGAACATTCTGTTAAATTATTATACCGGGCGGTTAATATTATCCACGAAAAAAATTCTCTGCAAAATAATATTATCCATACTTTGGTACTTACTACTACTTACTTTATCTTAAAAAGTGTTGCAACACACGGTACAAAAAACTATATTAAAATATGACGTACAACAACTACAAATTTCATATTTTTTTAAATAATAATATTTATTCACATAAAATATGACCAATGTTTACAATGATATGTTTTAATACGGTAATTCTAATACGGTCGAACTTGCAGGTTAACTCGAACTTTTATAACTCGAAATCATCGATATCTCTAACTTTTAACTTAACTTCGAGTGAACCAAGTCCGGCTGTATTTTTAAATAGTGTATCGAAAAATTCTTAAAAGGAGTAAGGATATGTCAACATCTATATTTCATGGAGCTCAATTGTGCTGCATTTTTTTGCGTGTAAAGTGGAAGGCGAGCGCTATCGTATTGCACCCATACACAGGCGCGGTTAAGTAATTAATGATAGATTAATTTTTTAAATCGGGATAGTGAAATATAGAATTATTAGTATGCTGTTCATACAACTTAAACTTTAATTTTTTTTCCGTCGGTCCCATCAAGTTTTTTTCATTTATTACGCCACTGCACGCTACATATGTATAATATTATAAATCGATATTTTATGATGCACCGAACAACGGAACAAATGTCTTCGAAAATCATCAAATCGTAATTACTGATTTTTGCTGCTGTGCCTACGAATTGAACACGACATTTCGTGGTACAACAAATGTAATATATGACATAATACTACTGCACTGCGTCTGAAGCTCTGCACCTATTGCGATCGCGCTGATTCACTAACCATTGTTAACTCTATTACTCCTTTACACATGACGTGTCGACTAAACGTTGTTGTACTATTAATTGTACTGCCGTCGTATAAAATAAAGAAAATATTGTTCAACTCCTAACTGCTAATTTTAAAAATCTTTGCGGACTGTTTTCCCGCTAAACGGCCTGATTTTAAAAGCTTTATGCTGAATATGCCGAAAACTGTGAATTCAGAAGTAAACATGACTAGAAATAAACAGTATAATATAGTTGAAAAATATTGCTGAAATTATATTATACACGATATGGTCAATGTGGCCCAATGTGGCCTAGTTAGGTATATTATTGTGTTGCACTTACACTCATATGCACTCGGGCACTCCCTATGTACACGTTATACAGAGTATCCGCCAAGCATGGTCATTAATCAACCCCATTTGTCCTTAAATGTTATAGTTTATAGTCAAATTCTATATTTTAAAAACTTTTAAGTATACCTATATAAGAAGTAAGAACTATATCTTTAAATAGATATTTTGATTTTTTACATAATTTATGAAATCCCCAATGGCAATTCAAAAAATGAGAACCAACAATTTTTACTGTAAATTGTCAAAGAGATTGTTGGTTTTTTTTTAAAATTAATGCACCTGGAAAAAAATCGAATAAGTTAAAATATTAAAATGAATAATTACTAGGTATACCAAGGATAATAGTCCGAAAAACCGAATACGGAAAAATCGGGGTTTCCATGCTTAGTGAATCAACCTATATAGGTTAATCCCTCGCAAAAATTCAAAATAGCATGATATATAAATTCAATATTCCAGATCGTGGACTGTTTCAATAAAAGTTCATAAATATAAATAGTTTTTCAGGTTTATTTTTCTGTTTAAAATAAAATAATACACATACAATCATATTCAAATCCAAAGAATCCGTAATAACGTATAGAAAAACAATCGATTTCCTCAAAAATATATACATTTTTTTATATTAAACTGGGGTTAATATACTGAGTAGTAAGTATACCTGCCTAGTCTTATTCACCATCTCATAAAATGTGTACAATTTGTGAACATAGTAAAAATAAATATTACTGAAAGGTTAGGAATCAGTTGTATGATAATAATTATTACAATTTTAAACCTATTGGTAGGTTAATAGTTATGAAGAAGTACATGCCCCTACTAATACTTAAATATATTGAAATATTTTAGACAAACTGTTATACATTTTCAAAAAATTAAAAATTGCTTATTTATACGAAAAATTGATTTATGCATATTATATATCATCAACTTATTATTAACATATTACCTATAGCCTATAGTAAATTTAAAAGAATTACCGAAATGAAAAAAATATCGATACAAAAACATTTTGTGCATACAAAATACACTCCAACATAATTTGTACACGTTTATGTTCATATTACTATCCCAAAGCAAAAAAATAATTTTAATTAATTAATTTACATTTTATATCTTATTTATACTCTTCATCAGACACTGAGAATATTAAATACAAATAAATAAACTAAAACTAAATACTTATATTCGTATTGTCACACTTCATAAATTAAAAAAAAAATTCGAATCAAATATTGTACTTAAATATTATTAAACTATTTTCAAAATACTGAGATTAAAAATAATGAATTTAATTAAAGAGAATTCTTAGACTATAATAGACTTTTTCAGATTTAATTATATGCAATTGCGTATATTTCAATTAAATATACCTATGTATTTTTAATTTGAATACAATGGTAAATGGTAAGAACATATTTAAAGTCAAAATATTAAAGAACCTAAACTCGTAATTAAAATTGTGTATCATCACTATTATTACTTTTTTCGGTTATAAATATAAAATGATCCTAATATATATGTGATATTAATATATTATACTAATTTATAAGTATGTAACGGAAATGTTGACAATAATTTCTAATAACCTTAGGATTAATGCTTTAGTTGCATTTTGTCAACATTTATGTAATTGAATTATCAAGCAATGTTGTCGTGATAGAATTGTAATGCTGCATATATTTATTTCCATCGCCATTGATTATGTATTACAATAATATATTATAATCAACGTTATCACGTGTATTTTATTGTTTTTTATTTAAAATGCAAATATCAACAACTCAATGTCGATACTTATTGTAGTAGATAAATATAAAATATGCTCTTCACAGTAAGATTTCCCACCCAGGTCTGATTTTCTAACAAGAGTATACAGTAAACACCCACGAAGAGTTGCACTTAAACAAAAAAATATACATCGAGGGTCGCATCCTATCCGCTGCAGGCTGATTTCCCAATCAGGTATGTCGGTTCAACTTGTACAGGAGATAACTATTAGATAAATTCAGCTTTAAACTTTAAACTTTACTCTTTTTGACATACACAAAAAAAAATAAAAATAAGATTTTCTCTGGAGTGCCAAGTAATAAGTGTGTTACCAACTTAACAAAATATATTTTCTCTAAGACTTTTAAATTGATACTCGCAAATAGGTACCAGCAATATGTGTACCCTAACCCAGACTAAGAGTAGGTACTCGCGATCCTGACGAAACGAATTTCTTTTCCGTCAAGGTGCTAAAAGACTAAAGGACTAAAGGAGCTAAAGTAATAATCATAACATAGGTCACAACGGGTGGGCCAACTTCACAGTTTCAAAAGTCCATATACAAGTTTATATCAAACGAGGGACTTGCGAATTTTCAAAAAGGAGCTTACAAATACTTGCTAATCATTAGATTTCGTTTGATACCGATATCGAAGTTTTGGGTCTAAATAAATGGGCTACGTTAAGTTGGCCCAACTCTTACATTTTTTATTTCAGTGCAAAAGTTTGGACTAGCAGACTCTAAAAATAGACTTGTAAATACTTAGAAATAATTTGCAAAATAATGCCATAGATTTAAAAAAAATTACAGTACTTAGGTAGGGTGGGCCAACATCACGAACATTACAAAATAATACTATAGGTATAGGTACTCACTAATGATAATTTCCTCCTACATTTATACTGTTAGAAAATTGTATCATTGCCTAATACATACATGTTGTCTACCCTAGGTGTTATCAACATTTCCGGTAACGCATGAACATACATACATATTATAAAATATATATAATTCGGTTTAATAATAATTAGCTACATATTTCATTGTGTCATTTTCAAATTGAGTTCGTATATGAATATTAAATGGAAATTTAAATTTAATATAAATTGTCTGCTAAATTTTCCAGAACTCTGATGAAATTCTGCAGCTGTAGTAGTGTAGTCCCTATAGTATATTATGATGATGTCAGTGCCTACTTGTACGGTTAATAAGGTAATGAACATTTCAAAACAATTGATTTTCCGTTAGTATGTATTTGTAAACATCAAACT